AATTCTAGACATCGAGAGCTGGCTAGTATATAATCCTTTCCGCCTCTGAGATATCAACAACTTGGAACAGTCCACCAGGAAAGGATTTCCATAATTCGTTAACCTAACTAGCTAAAAGCTTTAGTGACAAAATTTGTTTATATGTCGTTTATTTTTGAGACTCGTTTTGTAGTCTAGGAAGCATCTGGTCTAATTACTGTAGGTGACGATACGTGGGGACATATACGTGTACTAAGATGGTAAATACTTTTGCAAGAGCAGGGCCCAGTGAAGTCTGGACATTTCTGGCAGGCGGGGCAGCTAGTATCAGGGAGGATTTTTTATTTTCTTCCATATAGGAATAATTTGAAATTGTTGGATCGACACTCAACTTGTTACAATACGCTAAGGCATCATCTCATCATATGAGAGTTAATGATGAACTGCTTTATTGGCAATGACGCGTAGAGGAGCATCCTTTTGTCCACATTTTATGCCACTATGCGGCATAGTAAAAGATTGCAGTGGAAGTGCAGCGTTAATCTACTTGGCGCTCCTCCTGAAACGAGTTTAACAAAGTCACCACTATTTATTCGCTTTTCCTCTTAAAGCACAGGAACGGTAGTATTTGGGAGGCGAAGCCTAGCAACTACCTTTTACCTTTTTGTCAACCCCGTTGTACTGACAACATTGATACCAGGTATCTAGAAAGTAGGTCCAAAGATAACATGAAAAACCTCCTCTTATCGAGACATGCTGTTGAAGTCTTAATTTGAAAATCGAGAAAGAAAAAGATATATCTTCGAAGTGTGTCCAGATATTGACTCAGAATTTTGTACATGTCGTACCAACAGCATAGCCAAAACGAAAAAGTAATGTGCCTGAGGCTACACCAGTGAGGCTGCATATGCATTTACTGCAATAGACATATTTGTAGCAAAACATACATATTTAAGAATGATACTTCTCAAGTATTCGTCGGTAGATCTCTGCTTCGAGAGCTTTAGGTCTACGTCTTGTGCCTGTACGTAGCCTAAGTATTTGTAGCGTTCATCCCTTTGCATCTTGATGATCTCCCCTTGCGATCCTCTTACTTGCCCTTCATGTTCTGTCCACTTACCTTTCCATACAACTTCAGATCATCCATATACCAAAGATGAAATAGTTGTGCACCATTCTCGGCAATCCTTACGCCTTTCTCTTGACTGTCAGTGGGCGTAATGCTAGGCAAAACCATAGCGGGCTTAAAGAGGCACCCTGAAAGATCCCTCGTTTTATACTATACTGACTATTATTATCATTAAATCTCGCCCCATGTAATGTACCATGTTTTGGTCAATAAAGACGATTATTATTATTATTATTATTATTATTATTATTATTATTATTATTATTGTTATCATTATTTTTACTATTATTATTATAATCAATTTTACATGAATCGCCGCTCTTGAGAAATGTTACACTACTCCTTTTAGAAAAAAACTAATTTGAATATTTGAGACAAAATCCGTATAAGTAACTTAGACCCATTCTATGTTAAAAGTATGCTAGTTAGTGCACTTATATGTATCATAGCGCTACTTGAACAATGTTCGTGTTTTTTTCCATATGCAGATTCGTTAGTGGTGTATAATTGTACAACCTGTACCTTTGTAATGGGTTATCTTAGGACCTTTGTTTATAGTGAGTTTCTCGTTACTTTTGGATGCACTTTCTACTCTAGAAATAGTGTCAACGTGTTTATGAAACATCCTGTACATGAGGTCGTTTCTGATGCATTCTCTTTAAGTTCAACAATAATAATTCAACCGTTTTCTCGCTGGCATAAATTTCCATTATTTTCAACTGGCGGAGTCTTCAGAGTTGGGTCGACATCCTTTAAATCAAGTTACAATTCAGCAAAAGGAGCTAATAATGATCCACAGCATTCTATTTTTCTCGTGTTGTTGACCTCGGTTTTGTTCTCCTTCGTTTTGGTCGTGAGTGTCTGAGCTTAGGACGCATTGGGTAGAGGTGGACGGAAGAGGTCCACTTAATCATCATAAATAACATGGTTTTCAGATGGAGGTTCAGTAAAGATGGTGGGTAAATGTCGCACTGTGGTATAAATGCTTACAAAAAGAAAGAAAGGAAGCATTTTCTTTTAAATATGATTTCATACTAACGTCCATTTTTGTACTACGCCTTCTCGTATCAGCTGTTACTTCTCGAGCCAGTGGAGAGGAAGTATAGTAATCGCAAACAATTGTTTTTTGGATGTCTGACGTAAAGCCATCAGCTTCGTCCATCTGTCGGTCTCCGTCTGTCTGCTAATACTTGGAAAGTACAGCTCGGATTTTGATGGAATTTTCACACATGGTTACTACTATACCATGGACGAAAAAGAGTGTAGCTTTTGAAAACCGGTTCAGTGGTGGCGTAGCTAGAGGCCAAAAACGGAAAAAACAAAACTTTGTTTTTTGACGTTTCCGGGGCTCTTGCTTATTTTCAGGACAACTTTATGGTTTGGAGGTTGTAGGCGGTGAGGAGATTATATATATACAATTAATTGTTAATTGGGAAATTGGCCAATCTTTTAGGCTTAAGTTGACTCTTTTGACGATAAAATCAAGCTTTCGGCATTCTCTATGGAGCCTTCATCAGGATTCTGAAAACACAATTGTGATGCTAGCAAAGAAAACAGGACAGATTTAAATTGTCAGACAACTTACTCGTCGGTGAGGTTGCAGCCACAAGGTGTTTCAAAACGAACGTAGAGAAGATCGAACTTGTAATCAGTATAAAAACCAAAGTTCGATCTTCTCTACGTTCGTTTTGAAACACCTTGTGGCTGCAACCTCACCGACGAGTATGTTGTCTGACAATTTAAATCTGTCCTGTTTTCTTTGCTAGCATTACAATTGTGTTTTCAGAAGGCTCCATCGAGAATGCCGAAAGCTTGATTTTATCGTTAAAAGAGTCAACTTGAGCCTAAAAGATTTGCCAATTTCCCAATTAACAATTAATTGTATTTTGTGCCCAACTGGTCGTTGGCTTTGGCAATGACTACTGCTCATATATATATATATATATATATATATATATATATATATATATATATATATATATATATATATATCAATTTGGCGTGTGTATTTATGCGTTACCAACATCCGTATTTCTACGCACTTATTATAAATAGCTGAAACATCATAGATTCTCCGTACATTTGCCCTTAGGAATGATGTGTGTCTCTTGATATAATTATTGATGTCTGGCGGGTGGCGAGCACCCTTGCCAAACGGTTGGTACTATCGGCAGGGTCAGAGACAAATTTTTATATCGCAACGTTGTCAAATGTGTGGAGACTATGGACTATGGCCAGTTTGGCTGACTTGATCCATTTTTTTATACATGTTCGTCGGTAACTTTTTCTCAGAGTTGCTAATTTGTGCCAAACATAATCCTTTATGAACTCATGATTGCGTTACGTGGGAACTGCACGATCAATCTACTTGACGCCAATTCATACTGAAGCAGCCACGAAGGCAGATACTAACTACCGAAATATTCTGCCTCGCAGTTGTGACAACCTAGGAGCGAAGTAAGGAGGAGTCAGATCGAGCAGTTTACGATATATAGTTCTACAGAGTTTGAACCAGAAACAGATCCCTGACGGATTCGTTTGACAGGGCTATGAGGCATAGCATTCATTCCACGTTTGCTCACTAGGATCGTTGTTAGCGTCCATCAATGGAGGAATGGCTCAACTACACGCATTGTTGGTTGCATATGTTTTATGAAGCCGAGTAGTCTATAGTTTTCATCTCTGAGAAGAGACTTGGTTGAATAGCAAGATCGCATCTGGATGATTGTGTGTATTTGTCTGCATGTATATAAAATCAGTGATATTTGCTGTGTAAGGAAATCATTACTGAATATGCTGCCAATGAAGTGTATCTAGTAGCTGTACCCGACGGGTTACTTATATGTTGTCCTTTCTGAAGACATATTATGTTCAAAGTTATACATTTCGATTTTTTACGTTTTTCCGTGTTTTCAAAAACTTTGAAGAATATTATGGGCAATCACCACCGCGCCCGCGTTGTGCGTAATTACTGTTAGCATGTATATGACTTGTAATTCGACAGTGTACAGTGAATATAACTATTTTTTTCTCTCTCATTTTTGAAATTCACCAAATTTGCATACGTAATTTCCAGAATGGATAAGAAAAACTAACTAAGTATATTTGAGACAATAATTTAATGGAATTATCATCAACACATATTATTAACACACAAATCCTCACTATGCACTGCATTGCCGTTATCTCCAGTAATGCCATCTCTGAAGCAGATTTCACATCACATCAGAGCCAAACATTGGTAGCTGAAGCCTCATGACGTACAACTACAAAACGAGTTCACAACGTGTCCAACAGCTAGTGCTAAGTTAACATCTTGTAGAGAAACCTACATAATGTCACAAAAAACTAATATAATGTCAAAAAAAATGATATAACGTCACTCTTCAAGATACGTAATACCCGTGCCGGTTGGCATATCCGTGGAAGAGAGCCAGATCGCCCGTCGATGTGAGAGTGCCTGCATAGTAATTGTTGTTGATTATCGGATAATTTTCAACTGACAGCAGAATGAGAACAGTGTCACTCTAAATCCGTATTGCAGGGTATTATCTGTGCCTTGTACATAATGATGAAGTTATATTGTGAACATTTTTTCTTAGCTTCTTCTCAGTAGCTGCTGCAACTGACTACGCAGGACGAGTTGATATGAACTCTGACAAGCCGAAACGAATGGCATTCTGGATAAGATCGGCCATTCATAAAAGACTCATTTACGTTTGTGGGCTTCCACTGGCAATGAAATTATTTATGTTCTTTGTTAAATTATTACTAGATATCCGACATGAATTTATTGGACTCATATTGTTTGTTACGATCATCCTTAGATATTGGAATAAAAATTCCAACAATAAATACAATAATATGCTCACCAAGTCCTTATTGTTTCCAGGTAAGCTGTGTGGAGTAGACGAATTCTAATTGTTTATTGGTAAGTTTAACATTTACAACTCATAACAGTGCTTGAATAGTGGAGCGGAAATTTCTGATAAAATTTCTTTCATGTAATATTTTTAGTCAATGTGCGAGTTCGACTAATAGCAGCGCTGGCGTTGTAGCTCTTGAGCAGTGTCAATTCGAGTAAATTATTCGCCGATATAAAGCGACCTATATAATTCCGTGAATCGGTAGGAGTTGAATGCATACCTTCCTGTAGTCTAGATGAATACTATCACTGTCGAGTCATGGTGACTCGTGAAAAGGTTAGTAACATAGCTTTGTATTATCCAACCACATACGGCCAACCATGGACTGCTGTGTCATGCTATTTGACAACTGGTGAATGGGTGTATCAAATCTATGAGCAGCTCGAACCATCGTAGAAATCTGTTGGCTTTGTCTGGCAGACAGCATCTATCGGTTTGCAAAGATCGTAAATTTGCCCCGATGAGAGATCATGTTAGGGTCAAGTGGTGCAAAAATTTCGGTCAAAAACAAGACATTCAATTTTTCCCAATGCAAAAAAACAATAACATTGTAAAAAATACGTTACAAATTACTTCCACATATATACAATTGAAATATGTAATGAATAATAAATAAACGTAAACACAAACAACGAGAAAAAAACTATTGCATCTGATTGTGCATTTTGCGTAAAAAATCTTTTAAATTGTAGATCGTAGAGATTCGGCAAGTATCGCGTTTTCAAAATAACAAATGCGGCTATGATATTCCATATCGTACTTAGTCTATTTTTATTTGTTGGCAAGCAGGCACGTCGTGAATAATAGGTGCAAAAACGAGGCACCATAAAGTTTAAAAAAAACAAGACACCTGCCAGGTAAAAAAACAAGACAGCTTTTATACCTTTGATATTAATGCCGAAGGTTTACGTTCCCAAAAAGCGCCCCTACGACAAAAAAGAACATGGAAACAGCCCTAAAACTAATAGATAATGGCACTTTATCTCTTAGAAATGCAGCTAAACAGTTTAAAATTGACAAATCTGCTCTTTCGAGAAGACGTACTCGTTCACTTGGTAAACAGGGAAGAAAAACTTCTCTAACCAAAGAAATGGAAGTAGACTTAAGTGATAAGATAAAAATTATGGCAAAATGGGGAATTGCTCTCACTAAACCAGAGATACAAGCAATAGTTCAAATCTATGTACAAGAAAACCACCTTACTACCCAGTTTAAGGAAGCAAAGCCCGGGAAAGATTGGTTTAAAAATTTTTGTAAGCGCAATAGACTAAGTCAAAAAAACGCAAAAACGCAAGTTTACTACGTGGCACAAATCCTTAAAGTTTTTGAGAGCGATGTAGAAGTAAAATATCTGAGGCGCAAAGGATTTAAATTTATTTTTCCGGCCATTGAGGAAAAGTACTTCATCGACAAAAGTGACATAGAAATGAAACTTCCCCAGTCAGAAATAGAAAGTAAGACCTGTCGTATCTCTCAGCAATATTGGTTTCCTATCTACTTTGAAAAACACGTCGTTCAATAATATGTAGTACAAAATACGTTAGAATAATGTTTTCTACTTTAGCTCTTAAAATCCTACTGAAAATCTTGTTTTACCCCTTTTTTGAGTTAGGTATGGTTTATATAACTTGTTTCTGGATTTGTTTTCTTTTTAGTTTAATAAACATAGTTTTGTATTTAATTATGTGAGTTTTCTTTAAGAACGTTGTCACAATTTAAAACCTACCTATGTTATTTGACTTACTAAATGATTTAAAACCCTTGCAGTGTGTCTCGTTTTTATTCCCCAGGGTCTCATATTTTGCCACACTGATGTAAAATGACTAAAAGGCCAGAAAATACAGTGTCGTGTTTTTAACCTCTCACTGTCTCATTTTTAGCCTAAATAGTGGTTAAAAACGCCCTTCATTATGAATATTATGAACTTTTTTTAGCGTGAGGTATACTACACGGCTTTCTATATACAGTGCAATATAACAAAGCCTTAAAGTCCGGTTTTTTATTGACAAAAAATTGAAAGATTTAAAAATCGTCTCGTTTTTGCATCACTTGACCCTACCTTATAAATTTACATATCATTCGTAACAACGCTAAAAACTTAAGCTACAAATGACAGGGTGAAAAAGCTTGGTATTGCTGAGAATTGAACTCACAGTCTTGCACCATTCTAGATGAACGATTGGATGTTATGTTGAGACCCGGAACTCTATAGTTCAGGAAGTATATTCGCATATGCTCAGAAAATTAGTCGGATTCGGTTTTTATTTTAATTATTTTTTTCGTTACAATTTTTTTTTTATTTTGTCACTCTGAACAATAAGCTTTGGTATGAAGTCAATAACATGATATTTATTAAAACCCACTCTGCACTTAAACACACTACATCGAAAATAAGGAATTGGGGCCCGAGTGGCTAATCGTAATTTAGACCACCTTCTATTATGAAGGCGTAAGAGTGAATCCCTAATTTGTGTCTTCTCCACGACGACATGAGATAGGAGATCAAACTCGTAGTGTGAGGGTGAAGCCAAACATCTCGTAAGTACACTGCTCAGTAAATGAATTTCTGGTTCTGCGCATGTAGTGTCGCTCTCTGATTCTCTCTCTGTTGCTGTCATCAGGACAGTACAGCAGGAAGCAGACGTTCAACTCCATGTACTACGCTCACAGCATTTCCGAGAGCCACGCCCTCCTTGGCGACAGCATTGTAATCATACAAATAAGTGTATCCCTTACGCAGTTTAACACCCTATCTCTAGTCTTCGTGGTCTTTTCATTATTTAACTTAGATATTTCTCGATTTACTAAAAAACAGTCATGATTTGAGATTGAGAGATTGGGCAGGGCTCCACTACAGATAGACGCATCGGCCATGGAAGAATGGGAATTTAATATTGCCGAAGAAATATTCTTCAAAGATCCATTAAGACTTTTTGGAGGAAAAGTTATTGTAAATCTTCTCTTTTTAATTGTTAATCGAGCGCACATTCATACAGAATATGCGGCTTACAACAAATTGCAGTGCCCCGAAAATGTTTTGGAGTTTTGTTGATGAACGTTTAAAGAATAGGTATTTGGGAGAAAATGGCGTATCTGGTGGTTTTTCAAATATAAAATCGCTTATATTCCGAAAACTACTCAATTTGGGGCTGGGCAACGCCTATATTTGTAAAGGGGCCCTTTTTGAACAGGATTATGTAAAATAGGAAATCAGAATATTTTCCGAGCAGATGCTTCCTGGCCTAATATCAGTGAAGCGTGTTAGCAACTATGGCGGGAGTGCTACCTTCTTTTATTACCATCTCTCTTTTATTTTAGCTTAATGATTCGATGGTCCAGCGAACAATTTTCCAGAAGGTTCTGATAAATCCCAAGTGAGATAATAGTCCAATATCTCCGCTTGTTAAAATTCCAAAGATTGATGAAACGTACTCCGTAACTCATAAATAAAAATTAGATGGCCGGGGGAGACCAACCAATTTAATTCTTTTGTTTAGTACTTTTCTCTCTAACATTTCCTCGGAAATCGTATTTTTCAACAGTGAATGCCTTTCAACTCGAAAAGAGTGAATTAATAACGAGATTGTAACATGTTAAGGAACGACGGTTTTTAAGATTTTTTGCTTTCGTGAAAGAAACGTGTATTTGCGTGTGGCTGGAAACGTTTCATGATTCGTATCCTGCGAGCTCTTTAAAATTGCTTCAAGCACAAGCAAGGATACATGAGCGTAGCCTGCAAGAATTTTGATATAGGTTAACGCATTAATTGCTGTGTTAGTCGCTGCCTCACTGGTGACTGACACTGAACTATTCCAATAGTGCCGTTTCAGTGACTGACAGAAACTGACACTACATAAGTTCTTTTAATTTGTTATTTAGCTCGGTCAGTAATGTGTTTTGTATTAAATTATATTAGGTTTGCCTAAAACTTACCATAATTTTTTAACATCTTACAAAAAAGCCCCTTGACGTTCATTGCGCTAAGGACCCGTGATGAATGTTGTTGGCTGATTATGGCATATTTTGCATACGTTTGTTGTATGTCCGCACTAGGATGTCTCAACAAAGAAGGCAGAATTGAAAGCATTTTGGCCAATTTCACCAACAACAGTCCGTTATTCTCCACCAATAGGGTTACAGCCCGTGAAATACAGCGAATGAGCTTCAAGTTCCAATCAACAAATTTTAGCAACCAATAGCTATGAAATGTTGAAGACAAAATACTGTCAAAGTATGAGATGACATTTTGTCATTGAAACATCATCAGCTTATTGAATATTAAGAAATTACATATAATTCAGTCAAAATTTAAACAAATGTTTGATTTTTGAATAAAATTCATGATTTAATTACTATTGTTGATTTTTATTCATGTTTATATTATTTTCTTCAATTGATATGCGATTTTCCTGAATCAAGATCATCTACTGGGTGTTTTTTCCTATAAACCTCTTGCAGATAGCCATTAAGCACCTACTTGATGACTGGCTCTACCAAAAAGTTCATAGATATTGCTCGTTTCCAAACATTCATTCATTTACTTGCCGTTCATCAGAACCATTATGGCACCTTAGGTTGATATTCCCACAAAATCATTCTGGTTTTGTAATATCCATACATCCATAAAGTTGAATATTTTTCGTTGTTTAGGAACTTAACAAACATCCACACTATATTCACAGCGATTAAGAAATACCCAAATATATGTCGTAGAGCTACCAGCAAACCTAAAACCTGCAGAAAAACTAGAAATTTGCAATATTTTTCTTTTTTCACTGAGTACATATTCTGGGTTATATTTATATTAGACGTTATTTGAATCACAAGACATATACACTGATTTGAATAACAGCTGATTGTCTCCTGATGTTTTAAAACTAACCATATCGACAAGTGACACATAATTCTGTGGGATCCATCAACACTTCGTCCCAGTGGAGCAAACTCTGTCAACTGTCGAAGTAAACTTTATTAATTCCAAGTCTTATTTTTGTTTTACTGTGCCTGCTTAGATATTCAAATATGGCCAGGAATTATTAGCGACTGGTTATTTCAGGCCTTCAATAACTCCTTATTTTAGATCTCTCCTTATTTTGTTTTTTCCACGCATTCATGGTAGAAAGAAAAATATTTTATCGTATATCGATACCCTATACCGTGCAGCAGGCACGCCCATCACTACTTTGACAGATTGCAGAATGATGTCAAGGTGACAGTTGTTTTTGCCTGAAATAGGTAAGTAGGCTTTGTGTATTCATTTTTATTTTTATAGCGTTTCCAGAATTTCATATTTCGAAACGATGTCAAGGGCCGGCAGGGGAAAATCTTTCTCTGAGAACTGAAAATCATTAAACGCGCTGTTTTCAGTCTATTTTATTCAATCCCTTGGGGAAGTATAGAATGAAGAAAAGATTACATTACTCAGTGGCCACTCAGTGGCTCAGTGCTCGTCTGTAATGATAATATTCAAATACTACTAAACACCTAAATAGCTTTCTGGCCTTTCAATTTCGAAGCTACCAGTCCTCGCTTAGAGATGGTAGCACAGGTAAGGATAGACT